AATGGATCCTCTCCAGCGGTGGCTGATGGCGATGTGGTCGACTTGAGTTCAGCGCTGTGAAGAAGTTGACGGTCTCCATGTAAGGCGGTACCATTTTTTGTGCGAGAAGCTCGTGCATGACAGAAACAGTTCGTGGTCAGCACAAAGTTGGAATAGGCGTTCTCCGTTGTCAGTCCTATTGGCCGGAATTGCATATGAACCACCAAGTAACCTCTCTGATTCCTCCAGGGATCCCACTTGAGCATTGAGTCTCCAGCGACTCGGAGAACATAAGTGCCTGAGTTTAGTTTATTCTACAAATTCATTTTGCGGTTGTTCTCAAGATAAATAGGTGATCTGGGATTTAACTCAAAATTCAAACAGGATATATTCGAGATCATCAGAATGACTTCCAGTCAAGGAATAAAGTCGAAACCAAAGTAAGATGACCAGTCTCTTGGTTGTAGCCACTAACGAATTGGTTTAGGTTTGATCTTCTCGAGCATCTTCTTCCCTAATGTGAATCTCAAACGAATGACTATGAAAGTTAAGCTACGGTTCGCATCAGGCAAGAAATCTAAGTAAGATTTATTCGATCCCACCAGAGTTCAGTGACGTGAGCATTCTAGCCGTGTTTTACATTTGCTTTGGAACAGTGATCAAGAGGTAAGTGTACAGATGGGGATAAACGGAAACGAGCATTTGAAATGACGTTCAGTGTTATTGTTAAACGTGTAAACCACTGAAAAACGAGTTCGAAAAAAGTTTCAGCATTGTGGAAAACAGTGGCAACTATTGTCCACACGATGACATTCAACGAGCTCCATTCATTTTTCGTCCCAGCTGAATATGGGATATCGTAGCGGTAATCCATTGGTTTAAACCACTATCACTGACGTACATCCAACCGCAAGGTCCTTGACTAGAATCCTTCACCTACCGGCCGACGTTTAACATAGTATTATTCTCTCCACCCAATACAAAACCCATCTCGTCACGGGATTTGCGTCTTCTATCATTCAACATGGTAAAGTTGTCGATATTTTCAACAAACTTGTCATCGTGATAAAACTATAACTGACACTCCCATCATAGGCCACAGACAAAATCGCAGCCCAAAATGTTACCCCGGTCAAACTTGACCACATACAGATGACAAGCCACAGGAATTCGTTTGGCAACTCAACTGTTTGCCGGAGTGCGAGAGATATTCACGGATCGCACTTAGTAGATACGAATCACCGTACAAACGCACTCTTACAGGTCAGCTACCATGTCACAATGGGAGTACGGTGAACAGAACAGTTAATGGTCCATGCATACACATCATGGACATGCCCAACCGAGCCGTGTAGTAAAGCCGTAGACAGAATATATATGGAGGCAACCGCGTAGATCTCATATATTCACCCGGAATATGTGACGCTAGATAAAACCACCGGATTGTACACTAACCGTGTGCATAAAGTTAATAGGGATAAGAAAAAAAAAATCAAATTTGGAAAACGGAAGACGCTGGAATGAATGACGAAATGTTTCTCGTGTCCGGAATAGAATAAAAACAGTTTGTACAAAAATGCGTACAGCTATAGTGTTAGATTAACGATATGGGTCCGGTTTGAGAGGAAAAACAACCATACCATGGTAATCGATAGACGGGGAAATGCAAATCTATAGACCGGTGCGTACCGATTGGATAAGTGCGCTAAAATCACCGAGAGGATTGAGATCATTGCTTGATTATATAGAAGAGTGCATGTGTTTTTCCCGCTGGTTCCTGATCACTTGTTCATGCCAAACTGATTTTTGAGCACCTCTAGATGTGCATCAATTTTCTGTTCCAGTTGACAGGAATATTTCTGTTCTTCTGCTAGAAATTTGGCGGCCAGATCGCATACGCTGGTATCCTCAACACTGACGTTCTCGTAGTCAGCTGTTTCACTCGGAGCGAGGGAACGATTCTGTATAAAGCGCACAGTGGAACATGCCTGGGGAAGAATGGGGTCTGCAGCAGGCAGAAATGCGTCCTGATTCTCATACGGTCCTGTCTCGACCTGCCAATGATGTAAGAGCGAGTCATCGATACGGAACCGGTAAGAATTGGAGTTGAAATGCTCAGCAACAAATTCATGTTAATATTTCGAAGGATTTGGATATGAAAAGGGTGCACTGCAAATTCCAAAAAAATCATTACAAGTACTAAGCAGATACCTTGTCCTTTCCGGAACTAACCATCAGCACACCTTTATTCCACTTTATTGGGATTCAAAAGAGTGCAGAAACTGTGGAAATTGGACACGGAAACGAGCTCACTCATAAGCGGATCGGTACTATAAGAGATGAAACTCGTTCGTCACAACACCGATTATATAGCAAAGCAATATCCATTCGTTTTCAGAGTTAACCTGTAAGAGGTCGTTCGAATATTCGCGACCTGGAAAGAAGGCGGAGAGCGTATAGTTCGAGTAATGACTGGGTTGCGGTAGTTAACAACCGATCTCCTTGGAATGACCTGGAAACTATTTGACACATCATGGTGTTTAAGGATAATGGAAGTTTACAGGGGAGAAAGCCGTGCGCACATAACAAATCCCTCTTGATTTCGTGGGTCAAAATGTAACAACATTTATATAAACAAACAATGGAGAAAGTTGCATTGAAAAACTAAGGTCTACATTGGAATACCCCACTGGCAACGAGCATCACCGCATTACACACAGAGAGGCTAGTTAGAAATTTCTACGTCAACCGATTGATCTCCCATTACGACGAAGAGTAAACAGTGTTCAGTTGGGAAAAAACGATTTTAAACCCCAACTTAAATTTAAACAATTTATCAAAAAAATACGAAGTTCAATTTGAACTTGTCTACAAAATTGGAACAGTCCATTAAACCGAGTGAGGTTTAGTTTACTTTTCAACCGATTGAAACCTTGCAATGAACGAGGTCATTCATCGCATTTCTGAGGTGATTGCAGACAACTCATCTAACAAAACGGATTGAATGAATGAGGTTTACTTAGCTCTCGGTGTTAATGGAGATAACTACCAGCCTTCCAAGATCTACAA